ACTCGTATTTGAAAACCGTGCATCTTCCGTAATCTCCTTCAAGGAAGTGAAGGAAAACAGGCAAACCACAAGACCTCGAGGCACTGAAGGTGGTTACAGCCCTCTTTTGCTGGAAACCCATAATCCTGCCTTTATTTTCCTGCGCAGAGAACCGGGATTCAGTACTGCCCTGACATGGGATGCTCTTCAGAGGGTCCCCTGGGAAAAACTAAGCCTTGATGCTGAGACTTGCTCTTATTTCCCCCTAGGTCAATGTTGGGTGCGTGCCAAAGAAGGTAAGGGGGCTTTTGCCGTCGGCTCCAGCGGTGCCTCGGCCATGGGTCGAAGTGGGGAGATGGGGTGTGGGGACGAAGCGGGGGCTCGATGTGTTTTGAGCCATCGAGATTCTGTGAAGTGCTCGGACCCGTGTCCCATGGGCTGCTCCGGGCGGAGGTGAGGCATCAGGAAGCATGGCAGGGGTTTTCCCAAAATCAAACCGGTCTTCCTGAGCTGACTTGCGGTTTGTGTGAGCAGGTGATGTGGAACGCGGCGGTCCACGCGGAGTTTGTCCACGATCACGCCGACTATGGCTTTGAAACGCCCAGCGTCAAGTTCAACTGGAGGTAAGTATGGAAGGAGCCGGCTGGAAACAAGTGTGTCCTGGTGGGAGCCGTGGCCCCCTGGCTCGTTGTCCACCCCGAAGGGGTCCCTGCCTGCTTTGAGGCTTCCCGTGGATGGATGCTGAGCTGATTACGTGGCTCTATTTTGGAAAGAAGGGGTGGTAAACCAGCCATGGGAAGATTCCGGAAAAGAGGAATACAGGGAAGGCAGGCACAAAAACCCCGCATCAGTGGGGAAGGCTACTGCCTGCTGGGTAACTCGGGGCTGTTTTATTTTGCGGCGTGGGCACCACGTACCAAAGGGATTGAATTGTTTTTCACTGAGCTCTGTAGATTCATTCGCTGGCGGTGACAATAAGCCCCTGCTCTGTTCCAGAACGATTAAAGACAAGCGCGACGCGTACGTGAGGCGCCTGAATGAGATCTATGAGAATAATGTAAAGAAGGTGAGGGTGCATTTATCCCGTGAGCTGAGCAGGCACGCGGGCTCTGCTGGATTTTTGGCCACTTTTCCAGCCTGAAGGGGTGTCCTCTGTCTGTGCAAGCCCTGGCTCCGTTAGCCGGCTCTCGCACCTCCTCCTGCTGTTACTCACATAACTCTTACTCCCCGAAGGCTCACATTGACATCATTCGCGGCTACGGCAAGTTCACCGCCGATCCTGAGCCTACCATCGAAGTGGATGGGAAAAAGTACACAGCTCCTCACATCCTTATAGCCACGGGCGGGCGCCCCACCGTCCCTCCCGACAGCGAAATTCCCGGTGAGCCTGACAAAATTCCCCGGGCTGCCTGGAAAGAGGTCTGCCAAAGCAAAGCGGGTTTTGAGAGGCGGAGGCAGGAAGGAGGGCTGGTGAGGGGTGCGAAAGGGGCTCTGCTTTGCAGGTGCCAGCCTGGGGATCACCAGCGACGGCTTCTTCGACCTGGAGGAGCTGCCCAGGTAAAGCGGGGCTCAACCTCCCCGCCCCGGCGGCTGCTGCTGGCGGCTCGGCACGCCCGCACATGGCATCGTCGCTCCTCTGCAGGCGCAGCGTTATTGTGGGTGCCGGCTACATCGCGGTGGAAATCGCGGGGATCCTTTCCACGCTGGGTTCCAAGTCATCCCTCCTGATCCGCCAAGACAAGGTAGTGCCGCCGGCTATCCCCAGCTGCGCTTCCCACCCAGCGGCTGCATCCCAGTCTGCTGGGGTTTTCTGGTCATCAGCTCCCGTGAGCTGGTGAAGGCTCAGGAGGATGGAAATGGCGATGCAGAGGATGGTGGCGTTAGGGTGTTGGGTGTAAGGAAGGGCTGGGGAGGGCAAAATGGGGTGAGAAGAGCAGCGTAGGTGTGCTGCCAGGAGGATTTTGGCAGCACAGACCTGCATGCCCGGCATTTCTGCAGCCGTGCGTGCCACCACACCCATTTACTTGAGCTTTATTTCAAGTCATGACCTGAAAAAAACCAAAAAACAAACAAAAAAACCCCAACCAAACAAAAAACCCCACAAAAAACCAACACCCCAC